CCCCCATTCCTACTATAGATTTGAAAAAAGCCTATAGCAGCCACTCCCTCGTCAGCCTGATAAAAGTCTGCGTGCGTGTCGGTGGGCGACCAGGGAGTTATGAGGACTGCATTTGTGGGACTGAGAGAGGGAGGAAAAGAGTGGAAAAAAACTAAGAAGAAAACAGATCCAGAGAGGTCAGAGCCACTGAGGAAATATATATGCGAGGCWAACAATGGTATATAGTGAGGGGTGGGGTGCGGCAGTGGTCCTGCCAGTTGGACAGCATCCTGGTTTCGGTTTCAGCAGAGACCCGACGGCGGAGCCGCCATCAACAAGTTTGTGTCCGAGCTGCAGATCGACGTGTCGAACATGCTCTATGGCTCAGAGCGTGCAGCTGCTGGACACGCCCGGTTTCTCACATTTACATGGGCTGCTTGATTTATATTTCCTAAGAATAATAAGAGTTCCTTTTAACCCTCCCCACACCCCTCCCCCCTCCTGCACCAAGATATAACCCTGTTATTTTAAGCATTTGACTTTGCAGCAGCGATAGATTTGTATCAAATTATTTGGTTGATCTAATTCATATTTTTAGATTGTGATGCAGCTGTTACAACCACAGCAAAATTGTGGTTAGGGTCACACGCACCTTTATGTCACAATAATAACTTATTTATAATTATTATTAACATCACCAGTTCTTGCTACAAAAACACACATCAGTTAAACGTCCTTAAAGAGCAAGTTTCAGACTGAGATCATCCTGTGTGTCTGTTGAAAAACAAATGTTTTTTTTTATAACATCAAGTGCAATTTCATGAAATATCTAGAAGAGGGGTTGGGCAATGGCGGCCCACGGGCCACATCCGGCCTGCAGGTGACTTCTGTCCGGCACTTAGGATCTAAAAGCTGCTTTGAGTGTTTCTTTAAGCAAAACAAATAAATAAAACAATTTGAATTTCAAGGCAAACCTACAGTATGTGCTTAATTTTCTTAGAGACGCTGTCTGCCATGAAGGATTTTAATACAAGTTGCCACTACAACACGTTGCACAAAGCTAAATATGCAAAGTCACCAGTACATAAACAACAATGACTTTTTACCAGAACCACAACCATTCAGGAGTCTACCTTTTTTGTTTGCTTCAGTTTGTATTTATATTTATTTATTCATATTCATATTACAGATGCATTTGAGCATTACATATGTTAAGTTACTGTACTGTATGTTGGTTTAATAAACCCATAACATAGCATTTATAAAATTACATTTTTGAGAATGTGCAGTGCTAGGTGGGCCTCTGGTAGTGTCAGCAAAAACCTGACCTCTTCTATCATTTCAGTTTCCCATCCCTGATCTAGAGTATGATCTTGTTTGTTTGTGTTTTGTCTACAAGTTTTATTTGAATATTTGTAAAACTCAGAGTTGTAGCACGTTTGTGTCTAAGACGTGGTGGCCGCGTTGAATCGGGTTGACTCAGAGGGCGCTCGGAGGACTCCCGACGCAACAGCTGGAGTAATTTAGACGTGGGTCACATGTTTGTAGTTACAAAGGAGGGCACTGTGCCTGACTCTGTGAAACGCTGAATGAGACTGGAAACTGGATCGCCATAAGTAAGACGTCTTCACACTTCGCCATCAGCTCCTCGATTGATCCGGGGAAACCACAGTGCTGATCATTTCGGCGCCTTTTCTGTCATGTGAGAATCACCGCTTTTAACAGGGTTTTTTATTTATTTTTTTTAATTTTTTTATTTATTTGTTATTTCAACCCTTCAGTCTTCTAATAATTGTGCAGGATATAAAAACAGAGGAAAATGCCCCGTCACTGCAGCTTGTGCTTTTGAAGGAGAGGGGTTGAAGCGCTCTCACCACACACCACAAGGCAAATGTTAATTGGTGTGATTAGGACAGGGAGACTGAAAGAGGAATAGGGGAGCAAATAAAGCTACATGGAGGGGGGATGGGAGCAGGGGGAATGGGTCATTTCTAAGATTTATGGCGCGGCACTTCACAAAATGCATGCATCCTGTAATTAAAACTCCCCCTTCGCCTCCAGCAGGCTTGTACATTAGCTGGCATCCCCCCACCGCAGCATCCACCTCTTTGGTCTCACAGTCCACCCCCCCACCTCCTGACCACTAGATAATAAGATCCTACAAGCAGCTTGGAGTCACTAATGAGGGCTTAATGCCGCTGGAAGGGACAGTGTGTTAGCATTAAGAGGGCACTGCTGTCACCGGCGGGCGACAAGACGTCCATTTTTATTTCATCTTTCAGAAAAATGCCGTTTAAAGGGATGTGCTGGCAGGACAGCATCTCGCAATCAATTATTTGATGTCATTCAAAACTTAAAAAGGTTTAGATATTGTGAATGTGTTACTTACACTAAATAATATAAAYAAACAAGGTGACAACTGGACAAGTTCTGGAGAGGTTTAGGTAAAATTATGAGTGTGAGTCTGCAAAATTATTACTAATTTTTTTTTACCATTTCATGACTCCGCTTCAACTGGTGTCTGGTGCCTTCCTTTGTGAATACTTCCTAATTTCTTTTTAAACATTTTTTTTCTTATTTTGTTCATGAAAAAAAGTCATAAAGCTGATTTTATTAGAATGAAATAAAGTAGAACTTTTTAAAACTCGTCACTCAGTGAAGAAATTTGCATATTCAGATATGCAAGAGGTGCAAAATCAGTACAAGAATGTGCACAATAAATATGAATAAATATTGTATATAAAAGGGATCAATGCAARTTTAAAAAACTGTAAAATCAGAACTTTTGTTCAGTGATTGAGGGATAAAGCACCAGATTATAAAAGCCACCATCGATTGTTCTTCTGTCACACAGGAACAAAAACTTCTTGTCCGTTTTCTCATGTCGGTGGTGAGTTGAGGTGAGTGATTTCCTGAAGCGATATCAAATGTTTTATAAGCTGCAGAGTGCGTCACGCCGCTCAGCAGAGGCTTGGCTGCTAACTGCAGGCTTCTCTCATGGCTCTGTAGTAATAACACGCTGGGGTTTTATTCTTGTTTTTTTTTTTTTTTTGTGGTTTTTGTACCGGGGTGCTCAGACGCACATTGTGTTTCACAACCTGGTATTTTCAATAACACATCATGAAACTCTATGACCTCACTCGGGGGCGCTGTGCGATGTTGGTCCTGTTTATCAGGGGTGGCAGATGAAGCCGTGACCCAAAATTAAAGAGTGAAGACGGTGGCGCTCAGTGGTGGCATTAAGTGTGTCAAAAATAGAAAGATTTCATTATCGCAGCAAAGGGAAACAAACAAAACCAAACAAAAAAAATCACAAGCTCAATGGCCCCTCTGTACCCCCC